GCAAGTAACAGCATTTCTCAATTCGTAGACTTCTCTGCTGGCAGTCTCTGACTGACAGAGGGCACAAAGTGGCATAACTAGCACCTGCTTATATTTTTGCAGCATGTCAAAATCATTAAGACTAAGCCACTGCTAGCCCTACAGCCCAGCAGAAACCAGTCCATTAGTGAGAGAACAGGGCAAATGCAGCAATTTGATCACCAATACCCTTCCCTGGTGGAGACACACTGACATCTTCAGTACTTGCCACAGTCACTCCCTAGCTGCAACTCTTTACCAAAAACTTTATAAGTGGTTTGGTTGCTGACAATACTGTCTTTGAAGTCTCCAAATCCATACAAGAATGCCCTTTGCTATGAAGATCTACAATTTCTTCAATTTGACTTCAGGTTAGAAAACAAACATACTTTACAATTGCATTCTGTTCAAGTTCACGTAACCTGAGCATTTATCAGCTTCTCCGCTGCTCAAAGCATTACTCATTTCAGCAGTGCTTTCCCTTGCTTTTCATCCTATCCTCAGAGAGGCAGTAAAACAGATTTATCTTTACCTTCTGATCTTTATTGTCCATTGTCACTTTTACAGATAAAAGCTTTTGCTTTGTTTCCTCTGCATCCAGATAGTGGTTTTGCCTAGAAATCCAACATTTCTGGGTGCCGGTTTGCTTTCTGTTAATCATCTCCTCATGTAACTAAATTGGCTTTGTCACCATCTGCCTTACTGCACTTGGTATTACGAAGTGTTTCCATGTTTGTAAATTTAAAAGTGAACCTTCAGCAAGAGAAGAAATCACAGATACAGTGCTTCTGAAACACCAACATATGCCTAAAAAACAAACCAATATCAACTATGGTTGACCACCAGTGGCTTTACTAATGATGGCTCTTTGTTAATTTGGTTCTGTTATTCCCATCCTCAATTCCACAATTAGATAGGATTGCAGATGTGGCTGCCTCAGGATATTTCATTAGTCTGGGAAACTTGAGAAGTATAAAGAGAATGGATGACTATCTTCTAGCGGCCATATAGGAGAGAAGGCAAAAAAAAGTTGAGGGACATCTGGAAAATGCTGATTTTATCTTCAAGAAAAAGAACTACAGCCACTTTAAATGACAACTTATTTGTATAAACATGTTTGATCAATAAGTAAAGGAATATTTACAAAGCTTTCCCAATAGTTGATGCAACATGCATATACATGTGTCTTGCCCTACTGCCAAAATTCTCTATGAACTGGAAAAACACAGAATTTAACTGTAGACTGGAGTTATGCTACTCCCCTAAGCCTGTCAAAAAATAAGGAACATTGCTTTTATTAGCAATGAGTAACATTAACAAGGGTACTTGAGTACTGTAACCAGAGAAGTTTTGAGGGAGGTTGCATATGAAGTATAACCCTAATTCTATGAAACAAAAGTGAAAATTGTCTTTTCTATATTCCTTAGGCTCTAAATAACAAAAGATAAACAAGTGTAATCTCTCTATATTTTATTAGGAATTGGTCATCATAGTCCCATCTGCTCTATCAGTCAATTCCAGAACATCTGAATGTAATATTAAAGTTAACCCAGTGAATACTTACTCCTGTTTCTGTTTAAATAGCAGTATATTTCAGTTTTGGCTTGATCTAATGCAGATTTTATTGAAACAAGTATATTACTCAATTCAGTTTAAGTTTTCAATACATTTTCTATAAATTGAATGTGTGAATATTCTCTACATTACTCTCCTGACAGCAGCAGTCCCATGGCAAAGCTGACTAAATACCTGCTTAGCAGCACAGCATGACAAAACCATATGCCTTTCCCACTCAGGTCACAGAGTCAAAACTGACCCTTCTGCCTTGATGAACAATTATTTTCTGAGCAGCAATTGGAAGAGGCTCACCACAGTACACAGAGGCCAGAACCCCACTGCTCAACATCACAGTAGCTGTGAGCCAACAACAGCCACTATGTTAATGAAACGTTGCTGTGCAGCTTGGAAACAAACAAAACAAATTAAACAGGGATTTTGCAACCTGAAGTTCATCTGACACAACTGTACAAGGTCAGCAGCCCATCTGAAGCTGCACTGAGTAGTCATTTCATTCAAGATTACAGTAAGAAATTTGCAAATGATTAAACTTCAGGCCGCCAACATTTTGGTCTTTGGTTGAAAGAAGTTCACTGAGATCCCATAGACACTATCAAACTTACCAGAAGCAAAATCTGGGTGGATACACTTCACAAACTATGGTGACCAAATAAACAGCAAAAGGAAAACAGTTTTGGAGAAAGAAAGAAGGGAGCACAATGTAAAGCAGCATCTGTCTGAGGCATCTTGGAGGAATTAAGCTGTGGTTGGCTCCGAAGACTCAGGTTGGACTGACTGCCTGACCCTTGGTGGTTTCACTGTGCAGATTTATCTTTTCAATTTGCACTGCGTAAAGCACTTTTGAAAACATATGGTAAATGGAGACGTTTCTGAACACATCCCATGTAATAAATACATTTTATGTTGCATAATAAATAACCAGATTCAATTAGGCTCAGCATAGGAGCCATATTTTGTGACTATTGTTAGAAATTTTAACATCTAACAATTTTGGAAGAAAACAAACTTTCAAAAAGAACATCAAGTTGGTAGTCTGACGCCTCCTTACAGCCACAGAATAAAAACCTGGATCCCATTATTGTCGTTATCTTGAGAACAGCATTTTAACTTCTTATCTGTGCAAGCCAGGAATAACACCTTTGAATCTTCATCTTTACACTAGTGGAAATTATACACTAGATGATAGTTGGTTTGTATGAGACTTTGGTAAGATCTAGTATGTGGTTAAACCCAGCTACAGTGGTCCAAATACAGTTTTACATGAAAATCAGACTGCCAGTATCTTAGAACAAAGCTGGGGGACTAAGCTGTTGAATTTCTTCCTTCCCAGATGTATAAAGATGCAAGTAAAAAAAGGATCCTTGAAATTTAACACAGAATAGTAAACTTCTCTTCACGTGGGCAAGCTTTCTTAAAACAGTACCTTCCTGCTCCACTGTCGTGGTTGTGTGTGTGTTGTGTAACATATCCTTATTCCATTTATTTGTCAGGTTTGAAATTCTGTTACTCCAATACTTCCCCTCCCACTCATTTTTTTTTCCAGGCAAAACTGGAAGCCAAAGATGGATGACAAGGAAGTTAAATAAACTTTTTTCTGTTTGGAACCATGATTGTAAAAGCATACTACCAACTTGGTGTGTGAAGAGATGAATAATCACTTGTTATTACATGCAAAAAGATGGATTTGACACAAAGATGTAAAATGTTTTCAGATGATTTCTTTGTTCTGTTGGATTGAGGTTTAATTTCCGCCTTCCCTAACATTCCTAATCTGCACATCACTAGAATCCCCCCCTCCCCCCCCAATCATTTCAATGCAGTTTTCTAAGAAGGGAAAAAGAAAGGATTCAGAGTTCCTGGATCCTTTGAATTTTCCATCGAGTCAGTGGAGTTTCTCTCCAGGTTTGCTGGAGCAGACTGTGGTCCTGTAAGATGCATCTCTTGTGGTTCACCCAAGATGTTATTTGGGAAAATGGGGAATTTTCCAAATGCTATGCTATCATTTTAAAATAAGTTGGTAGTTCGGTTTCCTATGATGCATGCTGGATTAGTCTAGAAACTACAGCAATCAATTGTGGCCAAGTTTTGGACGACAGTAGATATTTCAGTCACGGAAACTTGTGCAAGATATCTATAAGCAGGGAACAGCACTGATTCTCTGTCATTGCTACTGCCATCTCCTTCTTTCATTCTCCCACTACCAGAGTTACGTAGCTTATATTTTATGTCTGTACCATAAGATCATCAGATTTGGAACAATGATAACTCCTCTATCCATTACCTAGCACGGTGCGATACAAATATTTGGCTGCGTATATTGCGTAGATAATAACAGTCTATTAGCTCTTCAAACAGCAACAAATAAAAAGCAATCTACAAACCAGCCAGTAAAATCTTTAGGAAATGGAAGTTGTGGCCCAGGTTCTCAAAGCAAGAAAAATTACTCTCAAGAAAAAAAAAGAAACTCTTGTTCAGATTTCTTCGCACATTTTTCCTGTTTGGATGTGTTCAATGTGCTTTGAGCAGCAATCTGTTATTGCAGTATTTGGAAGATGAACATAGGGTCTGCTCTAAGTTTTACTTCATGTGAGCTACTGTGTACAATAAAATTAAATGGCTTGGGCATATCGTAGCACTCCTATTTGACTTAGAGAAGTGAAAAGCAGTACCAAAGGAAATGCCAGTTTTCATTATGATTTACATAGATACATCTTATATATTTCATAAACCCAGTAATAGCAAGAAAAAAAAAAACAGGAGCAGAAAAATATCGCCACCATTTATGATAACCTGCACCCTGATTACTAACAAACCTGCTTTTATTTTTTTTTAAGCCTTATTCTTTCAGGTAAATATATTCTGAAGCGAATAACAGATAACTGATGCAATACAGAAAATCCTACATCAGCTACATTACAATATTTTTAAATAACGTTCCAACCTCTCAACCATTGTATGCTATCAGCACTGCTCTAGATTAGTTTTCTGTATATTTTCATCTTTGAAACTCTGGATAGAAGATTAGTTTAGGTCATACCATCAACACAATGAGTTTGCTGATTTCTCAAGCTAAATTAAGGGCGTATCATTACCACAGGAGCCCAACTGTGCTATGGAAGCTAAGTGCATTACACTTACACATGTATTTAACTTCAGCTTCAGTTTCATTTTGATAGTACGCCAGCTTGTACTTGTGATAACCTGGTTAAGGCTGTGTTATACATGTATACACAGGCTCATATGCAGGATAAAAATGTACAAGCCAGACTACCACAGTAAAGCTGCAGTCATCTCAGGCTAACATCCTCTAAGTTCACATTCATTTCAGCGTAACAACGGGTGTTGTCTTTTTCTGCATGCAAAGCAACATGGTCATCAGTAATTCTCTTTGTAATTTCACATACCTCAATGTATTTCTTAGGCAGAGGTCCTAGTCTGTCATTCATGTTGCCTGATAGCAATCCTACATAGGGGCAGATCTGGTCCACTTGAACACTTAAAAAAAAAAAAAAAAAAGGAGAAATAAGACTGAATACCTAGATCAGATTCCATACAGATAAAGTTGACCGTCCATTTTAAAGACAAAAACAGCCTCATTAAAATACAGTTTGCTGGGGCCAGTTTCACAGCAAAAATAATTGTTACATGAACATTAATTACAGGTGAAGGTTTTCGCAGAGAACGCATTCTCGAACATGAGCAGAGAAGCTGGAGGAGAACAACTCCCTTCTGACAATTACACTAAAACAAAAGCTAGCTGAAGTGTACAGGAAAGCTTTTTAAAATCAGACAATACCAATTTAAACAATTTGAGACCCTTTGTCCAATTTTTGCCTGCAAATACAGACACCTATGTAATTCTCCTACTTAGTTCTTGTAAAAAAAAAAAAACAACCCACATGTAATGGTTTATGATAACATAAATAGCAGTGATTTACTTGGCAAGTCCATGCAACATACCAACAGGTCTGAAAGCCAAAGGCTGAAGCCCAGCCCCAGCCATTACTTAAAACAAAGCCACAAGATCTCCAAGCCTCAAACTGCCAAGTCTCACCAAAAAGGTGATGATTTAGATCTACTAAATTTCACATCGAGTAAATGAACTGCTGAAACTTGGTCTTCAACCAATGCTTGGAGCAGACATCAAATCGCAGGGTCTGAGATGAGAAAGGTTCATCCAGAGGACACTGCAACAGGTCTAAGCCCAAATAGGTATAAACAAAGGGAGCTATACAGCTGCCTCATTATTACACTCAGATGGCCAGAAACATTTTATGTCCGATGATGCTATGTACGAGGGGTGGGAAAAACAGTTCTGCTATTATGCAGAGATTTTAAAGATGAATGCCTTTAAAAGCATGAAGATCAAAAAAAAATCAAATTAAGATCCCGCTGGCGATGAGTTTGTTAATTTTTGTTTCTGTGGAACAGAATCAGCAAGATTTATTTTTGTAATGGAGACTTTAAGACATTCTGTATCTCCAGCTCAGCAGGGATCCCGCAGGAGCAGCACGTGCAATGAGCTCAGCGCTGTGCAGCTGGAGGGCAGAAGTGCTGCTGCATCACAGGGATGGGCTGCACCATTCTGCACCCACCCAGAGGGCACCACAGAGGCAGAGGCTCTTCACCTTTTGCTTGTGTACAAAATATTTGTAGAAAACAAGCAATCCTCCTAAGGAAAAGCTGGTTCAAACCATGTATCAGCCTTATTTTGGAGCTTGAACTTGCTCCAGAAGCTCCACCAGCCCTGTTGCCTTAATAACTTGGTCTTCCATCAGAGGTGAATATCCCAAGAATTTTCACAAGGGACACCAAGGACCCAGAAACAATCATGTTTTAGTTCAAGGCACACTGAGATGGAAGCCATTCCCTGCATTTCAGCAGAGCTTTAAGTCTTTCTCAGGCTTCAAGTCTTTATCAGGCTTCAGGAATACTGTAATTGCTAATAGCATTCGCATATAAAGAGTTTGTATGCACTGATAAGATGGGACAAAACAGTTTAGATTGCATGTCAGATTTCACAAACAAAAGTCAAGATGCCTGCTTTGCTAATGACATATATACATGGATATATATAAGCTACACATTAGGTAAATCATCTTCATAATTAAAGCCATAATCCCCAAAGAAAAGTGGTCATCACTGGCAGTTCATAGTCATTCAATTCTGGCTCAGGCCTGAAGCAGTGTTCTTGATAGCTAATTTCAAACAGATTTTTTTCTTAAAAAGATTGTATATGATGGAAGATACTATATATTTATAAAACAGGAACCATAGAATTCCACTGTTTTCTTAAAGCATGCCTTTGAGCAGTCAGATATTTATGTGCCATAAGGAAAGGTTATCACAGCTTTGTGAAACAATCCTTGCCTACATGCTACCAGGACAAGTTTATGTATGGCTGCATGAAGTGTGACCTGCCCCAAAGAATATGCTCCTAAAGAGGGCAATCAGGATCAGTCCCAGTTCCTTGACCATTAGCTCAAGCTTTGCCATGCACTTTGAGATGCAACAAGGCCCACATTCACAGCAATATAATGAGTTTCCACAACTGAGTTCTCACTAAATTAAAGAACAAAACATAACTCTGACTGCAGTGCATAATTGTTCAAGAGCAGCAATGCCAGATTGTAACTAAATTTTCTATACATTTCATTGTAATTCAGCATTTGAGATCAACTTGCCCAAATTATGATTAGACCATCAAAATCTAGTTAATTCCCCAAAACTTAACTATCTCACTGATTATTTCTTAACTTATATTTTTAAGGTTTTATTTCTGTTAAGGCAATTGACTGCCTCTGTTTTGTGTTGAAGCAACAGGACCCTCAATGCTTTCCAAAATCCGATTTCATTATAAAAATACATCATCAGGTCCCAATTATGAGCAGGAAGTTCCCAAAAATGGTGATTAGAAGCTTAATGCACTCTACGAGATTACCTAGGAATTTTTGTGTTTAAATAATGTTGGTGGATTACCCTACATTAACAACATAATACGAGTTAATGAGACACTCAAAACAAAAGTCATAGCACTGCTCTTCTTTTGTTTAATTGCTTATAATCTTTGTTAAGTATAATACTAGGTGCAAACAATTAAATACAATGGTAAAGCAGTTCATCAAAACTAAGGAAGACCCATGGCAAGCATTCAGACCTCTATTCCCTGAGGTTAGAAGTTTAAAAACAGAATAATACTGAATCATATCCCCACTCATAGTCCTATTATCTTTCTTTAGTTCTTAGACAAAAACTGATGAAGAAGCCTAATCTCTAGATTTTATCATCAACTACTAAGAACAGATACATCACAATGTATAAATCCGTGTCGCTTCCCTGGAGTCAATGGAGTTGTATTAATTTACTTTAGCCAAGGTCAGAGCCATTTCTTTCATATACTCAAAGCTAGGAATACCAGATAATTTTTTTTTTTACCTCTCAAATCAGAATCGCCACATCAAATATCTGTTTGATCTTGAAGAGATTTTACATGTTTTACTGGCATAATAATTTGACAGCGTTAGAAACACTTCTTGAATATAAGCCTTCATTTTTTTCCTAATTCTAATTCTTCTGTACTACAGAAGCACATAGGAAGATGTACATACTTACAGATCCATAAGCGATTAAAACTTAAGAGTGCTGTTGGGAGAACTGTCTCAGCTGATCTTCAGACATCTCACCTGCCTAAATATATTTGCACAGCATTTACTTGTCTTTAAAAGGAGCAATAGATTAACAAACTACAGGTGCCAAATGAGGATGGAACAGAAGCTCCCTTTAAAGTTAAGCACACAAGTCCTAGTGTGGCCCAGTAGCCTCAAATCATTTAAGTGCTGTAGAGACTTCTCCCAACAACTTGTCTCCTCCTATCTAGAATAAATTTCATCTCTGCTGTCTCACTCATCTACATTTGATCTCAACATTGATCTCAACAAACACCTTCCATAGTTAGCAGGTGTTTGAAGCTAGGATTTAGGAAGGAAGGCAATAGCTAGAAAATGCCAATACACTAAAATACATCCATCAACCTTTGCTCTTCAAGGGCCTTTTTCTAGAGAAACCATTTACCTCAAAGCAAACTGAACTGCTGTGAAAACACCACCCTTAACAATAAGCACAAAGCAAGTAAAAGCATGGCCCAAAAAATAATATATAAATGACATTCAATTACCTTCACTCTCACGGGCAGAATAACTTATTTTACTGGTCAGTTAAGAAATTTAAAGACATGCTTACAGTTCCCAAGGTCATCTAAAGCAACAGCTCATAGCCTTAAGGATCAAGCAAAAGAGTTCTTGGCACTGCCCTCCTCCAGTACAGCATTCATTCCTACCTCAGCTACCAAAAAGAGCCTCACGTGCCAGATTACATGGTTTATAATCTCTCACTCAGAAGCTAATTCAATGCAGCTGAAGTCGGCTCCAGCCTCACCCAACTGGGCTCCCTGGCAACAACTACAGTGAGGACAGACACCTGTGGTAGATGGTGAGTGCAAGAACGTTAACCTTTCCCGTGCCAGTGGTGCAGCCTGGTCCATGTACATCTTATCGCAGCCTTAAACATATACAAGTGTTCCAATGAAAGCAGCCTGTTCCTCATTAGCAATTTCACAGTCCGAAAATAATGATGTGACAACAAACTCAACAAAATTTGCTCTAGGGCACAACAAGAAATAGACAAGATTTCCATATTTTTGGAGGACAATTTACTGTACTTGAAAGAGATGAATTCTTTCTGTTTACATTAACCGCCTCACTATTTGGTCCAATTATTCCTACTACTTCAGCAATCATGTTATGCTTGTTCAAGAAGAAAGAAATAACAACAGCTTATCTAGTTGAGAGCTAAGAACAAACAGTAAAAAATCAGTGGATGTACTTAAGCACTACAGTTGTTGCTATTGTGCTAAAGAGATGATTCATGTTCTCATAGCAACTCGGGTGAAAGAAAAATGCTCTTCTTCTGAAAAGGCTTCTGTTATAATGGTTAAAGAACTCTTGAATAATCAAGCTAAATGGAGAGGGGAAAAAACACTTCCCTATGAAATTACGAGCACTAAACTCAAGGACGTGTTGATCTTTATATTATATCGATCTTCATACACATCTCAGTTAATAATCTGCCACTGCTATATACGGTATCGAGCCAAGACAAAAACAGACAGCATCAAATATCAGAAAGCCCTTTAAATAATGTGAATCTTCCAGCCAACAGCTGTGATAAGCGAATGTTTATGGAGGTTTGCTACAGGAGAAATCTGTATTGTATATTCAAGGCCAAACACTCTTCAGTCAAAACCATTCATACAAATGATTACTACCAGCTCTTCACAAACTGCCCCATGCATTTTGCATTCACATGGCTAACTGGCCACAAGCAGCGAGCACCAAATCCTTTCTGGCATGGCTGTCATGCCACGCTCGTGTGTCACTTTGCTCTCACCGCACGCACATCACAGTCATAGCAGATTGCAGGGAACTGGCAGGAGTGAC